AAGAATGTGGGATACTGTTTGTCCGTGATTTGAACAGCCCAGCGTGTGCTCCCGACGCAGGGAAAACCAATTCTGCTGAGGAGACCTACCTTGGCACTTGTGCAGGTGAAGCCAAAGGGAAGACATGCTTCATCATATTTTATAGTCTTTGGCTTAGAATGAAGTTGGTTTGGAAACATACTCAGCGATGCTTCATCTCCTGCTTTGCGTTTCTGTGGCCGCTTGTGCTAGCAGTGTCCAAGCGTTTTGGTTTTTTCCCCCCCTTTTCATACCGTGCCTCCCCTGCAATGGCTCTGCGCCCCCCCCCAGGGGGCGGGCCCCACACTTTGTGAAGGTCTGAGCTAGCCCAACTGCTGTAACCCTACAAACTGTTGTTTAGTTTTCTGCCTAAATTTATGTCAGAAGTGATACCAGAGCTGTACGTTTTAATCTTTTCAGAAATCTCTCAGTCAGAACATGCTATATTATCTTTAGATGGAAACGAGCGAGCTAATGCCCTGCTACCTTCTAATTCTGTTATACTTCATAAATCCTGTTTTCATGGATGCCTGGATTTTAAACTTAATTGTTACACCGGGTAGAGCAGCCACAATGCTCATTTTATTAAAGATCAAAGAATTTAGACAGTTTTTTAACTCTCAGCGATGCCGCAGTGTTCGTTTGACATAGGTACCAGAGGCAGAGTTTGGACCTGGAAATGGCTAATGAACGCAACGTTTTGAAATCCCTCCCCGACAGAGCACACATTTCAAAACAGAGCCGTTCAGTCGCAGTGTGGACACTCAAAAACGCAGACTTTCTAAAACGATGACGCATTTTAGTCATGTGATGCAGTCATGTGACCAAATAAACAAAGATAGTGGAGTGCATTATACAGCAGTTGTTTTAATTGCTCTCAATTTTGGCAGCCCTAAAAAGGATTAATATCAGCTTATACATGCTCCAGATCTTTCTTCAAATTCTTTAATACTTAATCGCTTTTGCGCATGCGCAAAAAAAAACGTAAGCGCTTTTGGCCGTTTTAATGTGGACGCACAACTCTGTGAAAACAACTGAAAACTAGTGATGTGCGATACCACTGATTTCCTTTCCGATCCGATACCAAGTAAAATTCAGGGTGGTATCGACGATACTGATACCGATACTTTGTACAAAAACTTATTTTATATATTGTATCTCAAATTATAGCGTCATAATGATTACAGGACATCAGATTACTTGTTCTTATAACTTAATAATGCAGAGTTCATCATATAGAAATAAAAAAACTCAAGTTGTGCCTGCATGCAGCACTAAAGGACTCCATGAGAGACGTCTGTCTCGCCCTAGCAGCACCTGTCCCTCTCCTCCTCTTCAGTTCGCCTCAACATACGCTCGTCATATTCTGTGATATGATTTACTCTGAGGTGTTTGACAAGGTTAGTGGTGTTGCCACAACCATACATGCCAACCCTCCCGATTTTTCCGGGAGAATCCAGAATTTCAGTGCCCCTCCTGAAAATCTCCTGGAGCCACCGTTCTCCCGAATTTCTCCACCCGGACAACAAAATTGAAAAACAATATCACCGAATTCATAGCTCGGCCCAGCCAGTTCCAGTTTCCAACAATGGCGGAAGCTACTTAGTTTTAATATTACTCATTTCTCTTTCTGGGTTGCAAAAAATCTTTTAACATATTTTCAGGTGAGAATGTAGCTGTGTAAACTTCAAATATCTGAGCCGACCGACACATCGTCTTCAAACCCCCGCGGTCTTCCGCTACTCGGGTTAAACATGATATATAAGTCACTTTGATAACTTAAAAATTTTATTGTTTGGCTTTTTCAGTGTTTTATTTCTTCATGAGTAAATCGGTTTGACTGAGATTAAAGTTATTAGATTAGATTCAATTTATTAATCCCTCGGGAGGGTTCCTCTGGGGTTTTCACACAGCTGAATAAACGTCAAACAGAAAACTGATTAAACAAAGTGTGAGACGGTCGAGAGTTTACGTCAGCGCCCGGTTATATTTTAGATAGCAAGGAGCAGACAGCAGAGTTTCACTCCACCGAGGGAGCTCATGACGTACTACCCGGCTTTCTTTAGACCGCGAAGGTGGAAGCAGCCTCTGGATTTGGACACCACCGCTGTTTCCGGGCTGGCCAATAATAACAGTGACATTTAACGTATTTTATCCGATAAATAAACACTGTAAAATGTATTTATCACCCCGCCCAACAGCCCTTTTGAATGTCTCCTTAATTCTGAGGTCTCAAGGTTGGCAAGTATGGCCACAACACCTCACTTTTTTTGCCACATGTATCGCAAACCACGTCTCAGCGGTTTGTGGAGGTAAAGTATATCCGCACAATTATGCTCAGCCATTGTTGTGAGTGCGCATGCCAAGGGGCTGCGAGACATTTATACAGCCGTATTTCGCACATGACTATGAAAGGTGGAAGAGGAAGTAGTTCCTTTGAATGTAGACAATCCGAATGTTATAGTTTCTTTCCACTGTGTTCCTATTAATGATAAACTACAAATTTATCCTAAATTACTAAAATATCAATATTTTAATGTGAGAATTGATTCTACAACATAAATGATTGGTATCGGAGGAATTGATATTTCAGGATCGATCCGCACATCACTACTGGCCGATGTGTAAAATTATAGCTGTCGAAATTAACGCGTTAATTGCGATAATTAAATTTTGGAATTAATTACGTTAGAATATTTAACTATTTAGCGCAACACGCAGATAAGTCGCTCCCATAATTCCACTTGATTTGTTTACCGCGCCACTGAAAATGGAGAAGCAGGAACAGGATGGCCTTCTGGATGGGGAATTTAAATACAAGAAGAACATAGATGGGACAATAAACAAACGCGTTGTAATTTGCACTCACTGTAGTAAAGAGTTTCAATTTCACCGTTCAAATTCGAGATTTAAACCCAGTGCGAGTTACCCCCCAAAGAGGGATCCTCAATCTAATCACATGAGCCGAGGTGTAAAAATGGGTTTAAATCTGGGACTCCCCACCATTTACCCTTAGAACTGAAGAAGCTTCTCGGATGAGAGGTCAAACGTCTTCAAGCAACTTAAACAAGTCCAGACGCTTTTCTTTCCAAGCTCCTTAGACTACAATGACCTGGATGACTGAGAACCTTTACAGACACATGAGCCAAGGTGTGAAAACGGGTGTGGGTCACAATCAGCCAAGGTTTCGGGTGAGCTCATTGTGAAACCTAGCCCCACCCTATCATGTGATTTCCTGAGGTCATATGGCCCAGGGTGTGAGTGGGCGTTAAGGCGTCTGGGAAGGGATCTCAAAACTGGATTATAGATGGCAGACAGTTGGTGTCGTAAACCACCACCTCTGTTCAAAGATGGTCGCTCACAGTGGACGTAAATGGCTTCTTTCACTCCTCTTTCTCAAGCTTCTCAGATGAGAGGTGAAACGTCCAGACGCTTTTCTTTCCAAGCTCCTTAGACTACGATGACCTGGATGACTGAGAACCTTCACAGATTTAGTCAGCATTGATTTAACTTGAACAACATACACTGAAACTTGGGAAACAATTTCATCATATACATTCCTTCATGTACATTCCAGGAGGGGTGGTATGAAAAAAGAATGCTTGGACATTGCTAGCATAATGGACGGGGTTCCCACACAAATCCAAACCAACTTCCTTCAAGCCAAAGACTAGAAAATATGGTGAAGCATATCTTTGTTTAGGTGTTTAGGTGGTGGTGGTGGTGGGGGGGGGCAAACATTTTTCTTATAAAACAAAGGGGGGCCTAGCAAAACAGTTTGGGAACCACTGACTTAAGGAGAATGGTTTGGTTTCACCTTCAGTGGACTTCAGTAGTCCTGCTAAGACTCTTTATGGCTATCATGATCCTGAAACGTCACATCCTGTTTTCTTGAGATCTTGAAATAGCTTGATGACAAATGTTAATTGTAAAGCTTTAAACCTTCTCTTCTGCTTCTAGGCCCTGTCAAGGAGGGGAAGATGAAAAAGATGACCATCTTTCTGAGGTTTGAAAAATCTGTGTTGTATATTTTTCCTCCAAGTGTTATAGCCTCTATTTCACACTGCTGCTGATAAGAAAGAGATAAATTTTGCTCTCTTGTAGATCCGAGACAAAGACAATGAGAAAGCCACTGATGAGGATCCAAACTATGCCTTATTTAAACTCTATGCTGATCAGGTGTCAATCTTTTTCTCTTTCTTCAAATCTTTACTTTTTCCTGATATGCATCGATACATTTTAGTTGTTTCTCTGCCTCTTGGTAGAATGATGAGCTGCTTTCTGTACAACTCCAGAAGCTCCTGAATGACAGATTCCCTCATGGTAAGATGAACATGTGTGCTATGAAAGGTTCAAAATCATCATTCATATCTTGTTGTTGATTGTTTGCTTTTATAGAAAAAATTAATGTTTTTCAACAGGGAATGGCCACAGGGGCTTTAGTTTGGATGCCTGCAGGAGTATGATTGCCTTGGTGGATGTATCCTAAATTATACAGTTATTTTCCTTTTGCTTTTATGTGATGCCACACCCAAAATGATCAAAGTTGATGATCAAACTGACAACTGGCCACATTTCTATTAGGAGTAAGAACTTTTTTGTAAGATATCCTTAACCTGCACAGCTCGATCTAAGGATGACAATGACCTTTACTGAATTCTCAATTCTCTGGAAGAAGATTCAAGAATACAAAGTAATGCAGCAAGTATAGTCTCCAAGATTAATACATAATTTAATTATTTCTTCAACTTTTAGAGTTTTTTTCCCCCAAAAAACTTTCAGTTTAAAATTTTAAAAATGAGTTATGTTCAAACTACTATTTGCTTCTAAATGTAAGTTCATCCTGCTTGTAGAATCTCTTTCATCGCTCTGATGTGAATGAAAATGGATCCCTGTCTGACGATGAGCTCCAGAAGGCGATTAAAGCCGCAGGTAACACTAATTATTGTCACATTTGAACACATTTAAGTGTAGTAACACATTTGGAGCTTGCTTCGTGTTATAACTGGAGAACTCCTCACTGTCTCCTCGTGTCTTTATCAGGAATGGATGTTAATGATGCCAGTGTAGGGCTGATGATGTCTCGGTATTCAGGCTTCTCCACCACCTCTTTGGAGGAGTTCACCACTCTCATGTTGCGCCTGGATAAGATGTCAGGTAAGTGACCACAAATCGAAGAATAAATCCACATCTTTTATCTATTCCAAAATGTGCTTAGACGTCTGTTGCATGGGGGTTTTCTCCACAGACATTTTCAAGGGCAAATCATCTGATGGTGAGATCCACCTGACCTGGGATGAGGCGAGTATATTTAATACCACTTCATACTCTTTAATGGTGCACTTTAATAAAAGTGTCACTATTAATTAACCTTTGCTATTGTGTGTAATTATAATATTAGGATAAGTAAGAATTGCCTTTTACTATTATAGGTGTGTTAAGTGTAAGTGTGTTAAGAAAATGACTCTTTCAGTCTTTTATCCATGCATAATCATGCATGTTACTATAGTTTTATAGAGTAAATTCAGAACACATGAGAGAACTGTAATACAGAACCATTACAGTGCAGAAATTAGCCATAAATGAAATAAATTGTACGTCTAAAAGTTGCCTTTTCTTTCATTTCAGTGGTCTCTCATCTCCATGTATAACTAGACCAGACCAAATCAGGAGAACTGAAAAGATTCCTGCAATCATACTTGCTTTTAAGTCTTAATGCACCAGCTTTTACAGGGGTGACCAGGCTGAGATTATGTTTTTTTCCTTTTGCTTTTTCTTTCTTTCAAACCAAACCACTGTAGGCCAAAAATGTGATCTTTTTTGTCCATTTCCTTTCATAATTTTCATAATACAAAATGTTATCATTATTCAAGTTACCAGCAATGGCTAGCAAAGATAGGTATACCTGCTAATTGGTGCTTAGTAACTTTATAACATACTAGAACTAGGTTTTAGAGCCAGCTTAAGGGGTGCAGTTTGGGGTTTGTTTGTTTTTCAGAGGGCGGGGGGGGTTACTTGCAGAATCCCCAAAGTATTTAGACCAAAAAATGTAAACCATTTTCTTTATTTTTCCTTTTTTGCTTAAAACCCTTTGACTGCCTGCTCAACCATTTGGTTTAGCATATTTTGAGAGACTATATATAATGAACTGGAGTACTTAGCTTAACTCAACCTTATTGAGCCATCTCTACCACTTGGTTGAGTTATGTTATCCTAAAAAAAAACACTAGATGGCACTGTGTCAGGATATGGCAGGCCTCATCTGCCACCCTCCAACCAGGAAATCAGAAAGCAAAAAATCACTCTGGACACATGGACTGTTTTGGCTAAAAATTTTAAAGGTAAGTACATTTTTCTGCAGTATAAACATCTCAGAGTCTTTACTGAACATGATTATGTCATTTGATACCAGAAAATAGCTGTAATAAATCCATAATATTTTTTTAAAAACATGCTCAACCAAACGGTTGATTTGTCAATTGATGGTAAGAGTAGCAAAACTTAGCTAATGTTTAGAACTGTTGTTTTAACATATGAAATTGACTATTTACTATTGAATATAAATAATTTAATGATCTATACATGTAAATATGACATGTTT